TCAGTAAAGAAATTTTTCCTAATAACCAATCTAAACCTCCCCTGGTGCAACTTGAGGCCATTTCCTCTCGTCCTATCACAAGTTACATGACAGAAGAGACCAGTACCCACCTCACTACAACCTCCTTTCAGGTAGTTGTAGAGAGCGATAAGGTCTCCCCTCAGCCTCCTTTTCTCCAGTCTAAACAACCCCAGTTCCCTCAGCCACTCCTCACAAGACTTGTGCTCCATGAAAAGATAAAACAAAACACAGGTGAAGTTTGTAATAGTATCTGTGCCTTCGTTTAAATCACTACCACTGCAGGTAAAACCATCATCCAAAACCAGGGTCACTGATATGTCTAGTAAACACCATGGCTAAGCAGGAGTCCAGATCCATCACCTCTTCATTTGTATAAATAATACACAATTGATATATACTGAAATACAAGATAAACCTTTGCTAGACCACCATTATATCACACCATGGTTACAAATTTGTAGCCACAAGCCTCCTGTTCCCAGCCTCAAGGACTGCTGTACCTCCCAACACACAGCTCCATTCTAGAAGTTTTCAGACTTCATTCTTAAGCCCCAAACAGACACAGGTAAGGCTCTTGGTTATGCTTTTGAGCCAGCCTATTGTGGAAGTATTTGATGATGCAGAATGGATTAAAAAAATAATAGTAACAATTTAGTTGTATACACATTTTGAAACAGAAGTGGAATGTCAGGTCCAAAATTACTGGATGCTCATGAAGAAGCAGGACAAATTTTTCAAGCTTGTTACCTAAGCTCAGAATATACGTAAGGGAATTTGTGTTTCAGGAGGCAATCCTGTCCTGTCAGCCCCTGGCTGCACATCACTGTTTAAACTGTTCTGACACATTTAGAAACTGAAGTTCACCGAGATGGGGCTTGGTCATACTGGTAACAGCTCTTGTAGCTGTATGGCTCATTTTGGTATGGCAAAACAAAGCAAGCTAGGTGAGGGTGTACCTGAAGTATAACCAAACAGGTGCATTTTAATTCTACCAGCAGAACTGCTCATTAATGGGGGAGGGGGACGGGGGGGGACAGGGACACAACAAATTTTTGCCACTTCTACATGGGGAAAAGTTTTAACATTCAGGCCATTTGATGAAGTAGGGTTTCTTATACTGAAACCCATCAAGCAGGACATTTCCCCCTGGCCATTATATTCATTATCAATGACGTATACAAGCAGGTGAGAGTTCCGGGCCCTTGAAACAGCGGTTTAAGAAAAAAAAAACCCCACACAAAAAAACCAACACACCACTATAGGCCTGAAACTGCCAAATTCCACCATGTCACAACAACAATCATTCACAGATTTGATTTTTCATCTCCACATGAATCTCTAGTGACAAAGTAATTCACAGCTAAAACTTTCCAGGTGAGAGAAAAAGTGTGTCTTGCTTCCCTAGGTACCTCTAAAAATCACAGTTACACTTTTAAGTCAATTGGTAGCACATGAGACACTTTCAAATTAATTTTATAACCACTAGAGAAATGCATCCTGAAACGGAGGTTACCTTGATGAAACTACTCTCATTGCCCTGTAGCACTGCAGTAGACAACCATTGATCTTCTACATTTAACTTAATTAAAGCAAACCCTCTGACTCTAAAGCATACATCAGGACTAGATGGAGATCGGGATGAAAGGATCACATGCCTCCCAACCCATCAAACTATTCTTTACAAGTTTGAAAGGGGAAGAGCAATCAATACCATCAGCATTAACATCACTCAGCCCTTCTACTATTGTATATAATTAGGATCTAGAATACAATCCATGGCAGACACCATACATATAAAGCTACCTGTTCTTACATAAATAAAAATTAAATAACTTCGAATAAGAGTTCACTCTGTCAGATGGGGAACACCAACAACTTTAACATGCAAAGCAAGCAAACTAAATGTAAGTGTAAAGCAACACATAATAAGTGCTCTACAAAATTAAGAGAATATGCAGGATGCAATCTTTCAAACACAGCAAGTATGATGCCTTGGGTCGGCTTGAAAAAGCAGAAGGATTAGGAGTACCTGGTTTACTAGAAAATATACACAACACTGACACATCTACCTCCTGGTACTCCCAAGCCATTTCTTTTTCATTCCCGTGTTACCTTGTCCTTTTTATTTTCTCTCCTACAATACACATGCTCGTTTTTCTTTCACTTTCTGTATGTATGTGATGCTCTCTAGTCTTGACTTCACAAAAAAAAAATCACCTCAGAATTACATCTCTACACCAAGAAGCACATGAGAATGAAAACTTAAAATCTAAAAGAATTTAAAGCAGCCAAGTGCATACTTGTACCAACTGAGAAAGATTTTAATGGAATAATGACATCATTTGGCTCAATTCGTTCCAACTCTCAGAGGATACAAGTGCCTTTTGCGTATGTTCCAAGACATCAACTGCAAGTGTTATGGTGGTCTTATTTGCACACTTTTATCCTCTGAACAAGAGCACCATATCTCAAGTGTTGTGCAGATTTCTGGGGTTTTATCAGTAAAACAGGACCAGCATCTTGTGATCAATGAAAAAAGAAAGATAAACTGGGCAACTGTTCAGTGAGAAACACACACACATTAATTCATTAAGTAACATAAATCAATAAACAGCTTGACTGATTAAATATAAATTAAGACAACATCTGAAGACATATAAATCACACGTGTATTTTAACTGTGCTTTACAGTTAAAACCGCAACTAGAGAGAAGGCTTTAAAGCACAGAGGACCACCTTTATCTGCAACGTTCCCAGACACCACTTAGGAACTAGGTTTTAAGGAAAACACCATCAAGTTTTAAAAGCTATAGTAAACACACACCACACCATGTTCACCTTCTGGCTTAAAGCATTTACCCAAGACATTACACTCAAATTATGTTATTTAAAAAAGCACATCTGTACATTGCTCACAGCAATTTCTTCTATTGTAATTAGCGATACTTAAGCCCAGAGAAGCTGGAGAAGTCCGTTTGCATATCTGTAACAATCCCGAGGCCTGGAAACCCCTTAAGCTTAACAACTACTTAGTTCTCACAGCAGTGAACTCCCTCACACTTGGGAAATTACCATCGCTGGCTGCAGCCTCATCGCTGGCTCCAACCTACCAGAGATAACAAGCAGAGACACCAGTAGTGCTGACAAAACCATGCTGCTCCCACCTCTGCGCCCCACTTTAACCGTTTATAATTCCCCCCCCACCCCCGCGTCAGACGTCAGTGGAGTTCCATTTACGAACCTACACTAAAAAATAACAAAAAAAAAGCTAAAGCTTACCAGCCAGACCTGCCACCTCCTCAGCGCAGTCGCACCGGTGCGGAGCCGGGCACAGCTTCTCCCCCAACGCCGCAACGGGCAGCAGCCAAACCGGCGGCCCTCACAGCGCCACTCTGCCCCAGAAACTCCCCCAGCCCCCCCGAAGGCAGGCACCCCCCTGTCCCGGCGTGGCGGAGGAGCGGGCCTGGCCGGGTCCCCGCCACTCACTTGCCCTCCTGGCAGTCGTAGAGAACGATGGAGTCGTCGTCGCTGCTGGAGATGACGGTCTCGCCGTTGGGGCTGAAGTCGAAGCAGTTGATCTTGTCCGAGTTCTCGCGGAAGACCTTGGCCACGCGGAAGCTCCGCAGCACGTTGTCCGTCAGCTTCATCCCGCCGCCGGGCC